AGTCCAAGAACATCTGGAGGCCCAAGGTTGGGGACCACTGATTTACTGTATATACCACTCCTTTAGTGCACATCACCAGTCAGGGTGGTGTACATATAAAAACTGCAAAGTGGTACAAGCAAATCAAAATATAAAGTCCAACCAACAACAAAAGAAACAGACTGTCCATTAAACCCTAATGGTGCCATATATTTGAATGGCAATATAGGGGCAAATCACTTCAAAGGAGTCAGCCCTCGAAAGCTTCTCAAAATAGATATTTCAGCAGCCTCTTAAAATGGAGGGAGTCAGATGTAACTCCATTGGGAGGCAATTCCAAAGAGATGGTGTGACTGCAGAGAAGATCCAACTTCTTGTTGAGAATTTTCTGGCCTCCATAGCCACCTGGAGGACCAAAGCCTGAGAGAATCTGGCGGCATGGGAAGATGATTATGAACTATCCTCAAAAGCAAGCCAGACATGATGGCCACACAACCCTTTGGAAAGATTATTTAGTTTAGTCAGAGTAATCTACTACTACTACTACTACTACTACTACTACTACTACTACTACTACTACTACTACTACTACTACTACTACTACTACTACTACTACTACTACTACTAATAATAATAATAATAATAATAATAATAATAATAATAATAATAATAATAATACAGCTTCTACTGCTTCATATTCAGGATTTGGATGGTATCTTGACAACAAATCAATCACTGAATCATTAGTTCCCTAATTTCAAATGTTCTCCTTTTCTACTGTGAAAATAAGAAAGCAGGACAAATTCTAGACAGTGCATTTGATAACTCAACTAATAATAAACTCAAAAGCTGTGAATGGATCTTCTTTTCCCGTAAGCAAGAACTGATGTAAAAGTTCCTCAAGGAGTTTTGTCTTTCTTATGCAGGGATTCAAAGTTGCTAAATATCTTGAGAGAGATTATGTGGCATTTATGTTGCACGAGGAACAAGGAAGGCCTAGAAATCTCAAAGCAAAAAGCTGTTATTGGACACAGTTTTTAAGTAAAGGTGAGTAAAGGAGAATATTTGGAAGGTAAACAGACACCTGACACTTTAAGAGATGTACCCATCACCAAAATTACTGTTTCCAGCCTGGTGAACAGAAAATAATTGCTTTCCCTTCAGTGAGCCTGTCTGACATTAAATCATTTCAAAAATTAAGGTGCTGACCTAGCTTTTCACTTGTAGTGCTTCTAGTAAAATTCTGTTGTCACACTTGGCCACATTATAACTGTTATGGCTATCAATTCTGCCCTTCAGCGTCCAGTTCCAAACTGAGAAACTGAGCTCGCATTTCAGGAAAAAAAGGCATGGTTCAGGAATGTCTGTAACACATATTTGCTTTCAAAAGCCACTTTGCTATATTAATCACTTCCCTGAAGTCAGGGACATTCCAGAGAATGAAATATAACCTTTGAAAAAATACTGGGAGAAATCGCTTCCAACTGCCAAATTGCAGAAATGGCTTCCAAAATGTAAAAAGGAGGTGGGAGGGCATTTTGGCTTGGAGAGAGTCATTATTAAACTTCTGGAGCCCCACCTAGCAAAGTTGGCTTCTTATAAACTATGTTCAGAAGTCAAAGAATCATTACCAGTGTTAGAAATGAACGGGCAATCCAGCTGTTGATGGATCGTAACCTTATTGTTTTGGCAGTACTTTCATTTACTTTTTTCTCTGTTAAACTAACTTGTTTGTTCAGGTAATGGAATTTAGAGTTTTTCCGTCTTTTCAGATATTCGCACCCTTCTTGGCAGGGTCTGAACAGATTTTTTTTTATTGCTTATAATTATACCTACAGGTAAAATAAATACTTTCCCACGGCTCCACTGTTGTGATGTGTTGCTGGAGGTCTAGCAGTTGAGTTGCACAACAAGTATTTCTGCTTTTGTGTCTTTTCACTTTTGACATATCTTGAAGCCATAGGGACGGGGTGTCCTCTGTCATTCCCATCAGGAAAGATTCTTTCTAATTGATATCAGTAAGTTTCAGAGGGCAAAATCAGAAAGGGAGCATCAGGGCATATTGCATAATGAAAAGAGCTGCAACGCAGAAGAATGTGGGCGCTGGCCGGAAAAGTATGGATAGCAAACTAGAAGGTGATCTGTCATCAGTCATGGACTGCCACTGGATAACCCCATTGTATCAAAACAATCTGCAGAAACAACGTGGCCTTCAGAAACTGGATAGTACTCCACCAATGAACTATCCAGAGATGGAGAACTGGAATTGAGTGAGGACCTGCATTTCCATCTCTGTCCTGCAACTCCCAGGCTGAATGACATCAACAGGCCCTTGGACAAAGCTCCCAGAGGAGTTTTACATAGGCTCTTTGGCCGAGGAGTCAGTTTAGATCCTTCCCTTCCATTCTCTGCAAAGAAAAGAGTGGGAGAAACAGAGTCAGGAAGGGAAATCCTGGGAACTCCAGTAAGTGGCCAGAGATATCAAGGAATGCCTTCATGCTAGGCACTGGGGTAGTGCTTCAGGGAGATCGGTGTGAACCAGAAGGAGAATTGACACAGAACATCTTAGGTCTCTGGCTTGCAGTTTCCTTGGTCTGACCTATGCCCACTTCGTTTGCAAGGATAGGATCCCACACCAATTGGTTTAGGGTTGAGGGATTGTCCAGAAGAGCCACCAAATCTGTGATTCTGCAGGGCTGATAAAGATTGCTTTGATCAGGAAAAAGCAGCAGAAGATTTAAAAATATCTATTTGGTTGTTCTTATATTTTTACCCCTAGAGAAGATGAAGTGCTTGCATGATTTTCTGATTACCAAAATGATTTGCCTGGCTTTTGATCTTATGTACTGTGACTTGGGTAGTGCCCTGGACAGCAAAATTTCTTGAGTCTGTCCTCACTCTAGATGCATGAAGTAGCACTGCCATTTTGTTTCTGGACATGTCATGAACCAGAGATCTCACAAGAGACTGCCTTTAACTCCTTTCCAGTCCACATTTAAGAGACCTATTATTCATCATCTGAATAAACATCCTTCCCCTTCACAATAAAACGAAGCCCAACACTGAATAGATGAGATGGTAGAGCCAAAGAAAGGAAAGGGTTATGCTTCCTACGTTCTTTTTTCCAGTTCTGTAACGGATATGCAATATGCCATCTCACAAATATTTAGCTTTGCTTAGCCCTTTTTTGCAAGGAAGGCGAACTTCACTCAACCCAAGTAGCAAGATGACCATGTGGCTTGACTAGATCCATGCAAGCCTGCCTTGGGGGCTTCCACTAAGAGGCAGTCTATAAATCTAACTTAAAGACAGAGATATAAATAAATGGTTGATTAGGTATTGGTGAAAATGGAAGCATTTGCATTCCTGTATGTATCAAACTTGTTAAAGCAAGTTGGACAGGAAGTGGTGAATTACAATCCAAACACAGCCTTGAAGGACCTATTGAACTTTCATAGATAAATGTGATGGTATGTTATGAGAGATACTTTCTGGAAGTAAAGCATGTGGGTTTTTACATACATATTTGGTCTGCTCTTGCTCAATAATGTAAATGTTTAAATATGGTACTAGAAATATGATAAATGTAAAAAGTATTATGTAAAATGCCAGGAAGAGAATTACACTATGACTGAAATCCTGTTGCTCAGTGCACTGAGTCACAACTAGAGTATGCCCACTTGAATCAATAGAACAAAGCAGAGTACTGGAACTTAATTGTATGCCATTAGTGAACTGCTCACATACCAGGAGAAATAACTGTCTCTGCTGATACTGAAAGAACAGATGGGGGCATTTGTTTTATTTTTTCCCCACATCCAAAATACTTAATCCTCACTTTTTTGAGTCACAAACCCCTTTTATACTAATCAAGAACCTACGACCCCCACCACCACTACATTTGCATTAAAAAGTATTCTAATGATGCAAAGAAAACACATTAAAATAGATTTTTCTATATGCCCAAAACAAAATGACAGTCATCCTTTTTATTCATTATATTCTTTATTTATTTACTTCGTTGATTTTTACATTGCCCCTCTAGACAACGTCTACATTATGGAGGGGCTGCAAATCTGCATCTACCAGATAGAAGGAAAAAAGGAAAAAAAAATGCCAATACGCTTTCAGTTTCATTTCCTTTTTTGGTGTGGAAATTATGTTCTTTTCGTGTCTCCTCCCCCCTCAAAGTCCGCTCAGTAAACACCTCCCCCATGCCCCCCAGTGCCCCCTTGGTTCCCCTCCCTTTTGCCCCTCTTGCCTTCCTCCTCCATGACTCAGTGAGGCCTGGAGGCATCTCCCTGACCAGATCACCTCTCCCTTCACTGCACTGCCACTGACACACCTGGAAGAGCCAGAAACCCAGGTGGATGGTGGCAGAGGTTCTTTGACAGGAAGATTCACATTTTCCTATTTAAGTCATCAAGACCTCTATACTTTCAGTCCACAGTTCCAACAAAAATATGTTAATACTGGAGCTGCCTGGCTATTAATAGCAGCAGTTTTTGCTTTTGCATTAAATTCTGTTTCGAGTACTGCCTTCACTCTATCAAAGTACTTGTTCCTTAATAACGGTTTAAGTTCATTGTGGTTTGTATTGAGATTTTTGTGGATGAGTAGATATTTACAGGTTTTCTGTGCAATTGAAGCTAGGTGACCGTTTTGAGGACCGAAGCTACCAACATGAATTTGACCCAACTGCGGGAGGCAGTGGAAGACAGGAAGGTCTGACGTGCTCTGGTCCATGGGGTCATGAAGAGTCGGACACGACTAAATGACTGAACGATGATGAGGTCCCCGTGCAAATTTACACAAGGAATTACTTGGTAAGAAAGAAGGACTTACCTGCCGTGTGGTTTTATCACCTCTATTTCAGGGGTTGTAGAATCAATCACCAATTTTTGCCTCTATAGAGGTTGCAAGCATTCACCATAAAGCTTTTGGTGTACAGAGATAAAGGACCTATTTTATTATTTTTGAGAGAGAGAAAAAAGATCTTGTTTAAAATTTGTACAGTAACTGATAATAACTACCTCCTTGTTTAGGCCACTGAACTATAATTCACAAAGAGTTTTTAAAAGTAACTTTCCAAGCTTTATCTTTATGTAGCTCAGTGGTCCATCTGCCTGTGCTTGCAACAGGAAAAGAATTACCTGAGTGAAAGGCAACACAGATTCCAATCCCAGTGCCTGTGCAAATATATCCATGTCTGCCTGGCTCCCTCCTGCTGATCTGTCCCTCCACAGCAGTCTTGTGATCTTGCAGCTCAGCTGCTGAACTTTCACTGTTTCATCCAGGGACCCGCTTCTGGTTCTGGCTGTGCTAATTTCCTGGCTTTGAAGCATAGCCCTGTGTGTGTATGACTGCCATCTATTGGGCAGTATTAAAAGTCAATCAAAGATATCTTTCTTGTGATATACAATAAAGATTATTCTTTAACAGGGAAATTGCTTCCAAAAAGTGGAGGGAATGAAGATCTCAGTTCTTCTCTCATCTGCACTGCTACTTAAAGAAATGATTGTATGTTTGAAATGTTAAAATCATCTGAATGACCACCATGTACACTACTTAATGTTAAAAAAAGGGAGAAAAATTCCCGTGTGGCATTCCTTGATCCTCCAGGTCTCTCATAGAAGCTGTGTTCCATTTCCTGAAAAGGAGCAGGTTCTTTTTAGCAGTGGCAGCTGTGTCTTGGCATGACCTCCTTAGAGATACAGGACAGGGAATTTTTATTATGGCATTATTTATAATTCTTAGGTGACTCATAACTAGAGGTGGGCACAAACCTCGGTTCGGAGGTTCGTGCTGGTATGTATGCACAGGTGCCATACATTCCCTTCCCCCCCTCCCCAGCTGGATCCTCCCACCCACCAGCCAACATGCACTCCTCTCCTTAGGTGCCATACATTCCCTTCCCCCACCTCCACAGCTGGATCCTCCCACTCACCAGCCAGCATGCACTCCTCTCCTACTCCTCTTGCGCTGATCAACCAGTCTCCAGCAGGAGTTTCCCGGCCTCATGTCCTTGGCTAATTGCCCACTCAGACAAGGAGGCAGGACAGACAAACCCATTCTCCTGCTGGGGACTGGTCAAACAGTTGAAGAGGAGGTGAAGAGTGTGTGCTGGCTGGCGAGTGGGTCGTTGGCTGGGGAGGCGGGAGAATGAAATACAGCGGTATGAACCAGAGGAGGAGTGTGTGCTGGCTGGTGAGTGGGTCGTTGACTGGGGAGGCGGGAGAATGAAACACAGCGGTATGAACCACAATGAACCTCCGAACTGAGGTTCATGCCCATCTGTACTCCCAATCTTTAACAACAACAAAAATGATGTCATCATCACCAACAAAAACGCAGAAGATTTTCCTTTTAGGAAGACTTTTGGTGGAGTAATTCCAGTTTTATGCATTTGATTGAGTTGACGACTGTCCTATAATAGATAACTGCAAGCAACTCTCTCAAATTCAGATGGTGGGCCACTTGCTGCTAGTTCTGGAGTGCACAGATCTGGCCATTGTAACACATGCCTAATAAGAGCCAGAGCAGAAGATTACTGCAAAGCACTTGATGTGGGCTACCTCTGAAGAAATGGCAGAACATCTTTTTCAAGTAAGTGGCCTTACTTAGAAGTAGGCCACTTGCTTATGTATTCATATTACACCTGCTATGCAACAGGTAATTAGGTACCAATTTGTTTCCACAAGTTCTGGGTCTAGAGTACATGAAAGAAAGTTTCCTGTGGCAACTCACTGGCAGCTTCCTAAGAATGTGCTACACAGTTGTATCAGTTTTATACTCCTTTAGCTACTTTGAGGCTCCATTCTACAAAATCCTCAGATCTATAAATTTATGGGGATACCTAGAACTCATTGGTCAGGGTCCTCTTGGTACAGCTCTCTCTGTGTAAAACTGATATTGTCACGGCATTTTCTCTTTATCTAAAAGTTTCCTATTTTCCCCCTTAGGCTCAATATTTCCCTAGAAATCCCGTTCACCTGAGGTGGGCCTTTGTAGGCCTCAGGACAGGGGAAAGACTCTATTGTCTGAGAATTGCTACCCACCCTGCATGCCGCTATGGGTTCCTAGATCAAAGGGGATTTCTAGGAAGCTTCAAACCCGGCAGGGTGTGTATGCGTGGTGCTGATAGAACATTTTAAATTAAAGATAAAAGGCTAGGGCTGATGATGTCATCAGCTGTATGTGCATGGAACTCCACCAGCAGGATTCTGGCCTCCACTAGAGAGCTCCAGTAACTCTCCTGAATTACAGTGCTACAGCTCTTTAGAACAGAATCCTAATGAGCTCACACAACATCAAGCCCCAGGATAATGTAGGATGGAGTCATGCCAATAAAAATTGCAGCAAAATAAACAATAATAACTTTATTCAAAAATAAACAATAATGTGATATATGGGGAAACATATATTGTTATTGTATATTTTCCCATTCTTTAAATATTAACTTACAAAATTTCCATACTACTTTACACTCTCACCACATATGGAAATATGTCCTAACCTCTTGTCCACACCTCCAGCAAATTTCAGAACAACTGGAAACTATAATATTTAATTTCACAGGTGTTGAATACCATTTCCATGTTACTTTGTAAACATTTTATTCTGAAAGACATGAATTTTAAAATTCTTTCTCCATATACTGTTCGACATGTCAGTAACTATTTCCGTACCCAAATTGATTTTGCACATTACTTGAGAGTTTCTTGGTAGTTTTCTATCCCTAACAAAGCAGTATAAATCTTAGTCACCATCCCTTTCATACGCTTATAATTTTCCTCTCCCTTTGTATTATAATTTCCCCAAACTTCATTACGTCTCAGCATCTACCATTATCCCTTTTCCATTCTTTCATCCAGTGATTTTAGCTCACTTACATTAATCCATGATATATTTTCACTCTCTAACATCTTTATTTTTTCTCTAGAGTTCATTTTTCCCAACCAGTCTTTTTAATCCATGTAAATGTTTCCTTTTTCAATACATTCTGAAAAACTCCTTTTGAATTTTCTGGAAGCTTCTTTAATCCAGAGAAGAATTTTTGAACAAATACAGTATGATTGGGCAAAAAAAAGAGAAGGTGTTACATATGAGCATGGTAACAACAGCTAAACCAGTGATTGTGAGAAACTAAAAACTGAAGTATATGTCTCAATTAACTGAATGGTATAATGAACTTTGGAAATTAGCTGTCAACAATAGGTTCGCATAGGATATGAAATTTAAAAAGGGATTGTTAAATGAGAATAAGTTTGTGGCTGCACTAAAATTAGATAAGTTTATCTTGACTTGTGTAGACTTTTTTTAAAAAAAGTTTTAAGGTATGTATATGTAAAAGTTTTGTTTCTTTGTTTTCTTTTATGTTGAGTTGTATATTGTAGTTAGTAAAAAATTTTTAAAAAAAGACTTGTAGCACTTTAATTCAGGAAAGTGTAGTAGAGCTCTCTAGCAGAGGCCAGTATTCTACTGGTGTAGCTCCATGCACATATAGCTGGTGTTGTTGTGGTGGTGGTGTGTATTTATGCTTATACTTACTAAGTGATTCAGCTTTTCTGCTCAGCATGCATTCACTGTTCTTATGTGGCAACCCCTCTTTTTACAATGTTTTTATTTGCTGAACCCATTTCTGTTCTATACTTGAGCTGTGTATTATGTCTTTTCATTTGTAATTACTGTTAAGAGTCATGTGAATTAGTCTATCAGTCCAGTCAGTCAGCCATTGTTTCTGGATGTAGTTCAGGGTCTTACTGTTATAAGCTGTCCTAGATGCTCGCATTGCGTTCCAAGAAGATACAGGTTTAATACATTATTTTTAACAATTAGAAGATTGTTGATGGTGGAGAGCCTAACCAAAGCAGGACAGTGCACTAGGAATGCTATTTTACTCCCTTTAAGCCTGCTGTTTCATTTTTAACAAATTTACTTACTGTCCATAATTCATGGTGTATGTATTCACTTCAGATTTTGTGTTACAGTCCAGCACAGCTAGAATCTAGATATACAAAAGATAAAATAGAAGGCTTCTACTTAGAGCAAATGATTTTTGACAAACTTTTATTAGGTTCAAAAGAACAAACTGTTAAGAAAATGTATAATTATATGTTGGAAATTAAGATGCAAGATGAAATGGTTAAGGAATGTATGATTAAGTGGGCACAAAATATAGGGCATAACATTGATATTGATCAATGGCTGAAAATATGGCAAAATAATATAAAGCTTACAAGATCGGTGAACTTTAAAGAGAATATATATAAGATGTTTTATAGATGGCACATGACCCCAGAAAAATTGTCAAAGATGTATACAGATGTATCAAATAATTGTTGGAAATGTGAATCACAAGTGGGAAGCTATTATCATATGTGGTGGTCATGTGGAGTAGTGAAACAATATTGGAAAAGAGTGCATGTAATGTTGGAACAAATATTGCTCTGTAAAGTGCCATTAACCCCAGAACTGTTTTTATTGAGTATGATACCTGAAAATATAGATAAGTCAAAGAATTATATAGTTATATACATAGTTACGGCAGCTAGAATTTTATATGCTAAAAATTGGAAAAGATCAACGGTACCGAAACAAGAAGATCTTATTGAAAAGATACGGGAAATAGCCGAAATGGACATTTTATCAGAAGTCATGAAGGACTATCCCTTGCAAAAGGCAACAGAAAGATGGGATCTATTTAACAAGTGGACAGAATCAACAGGCAGTTTGTGAACAGTACATATTGAAAGGAGAACTGAATCTAGAAGGCAGAAAAGAGTAAATAGAATAATTTAAAATCTTGATATGGCAATAGGTACAGAATGGATGAAAGTATGTTATTGTCTCCCCTCTTCCTCATCAATCCCAATTCCCTTTTCCTTTCTGTTATCCCTTATAAAAAATAAAAAGTACAAAAAAAAAAAAGATTTTGTGTTACAGTCTGATAATATCCTAATAGCGCAACCCTAATCATCCAAGATGACTCAAGGCCGGTTGAAATTGTTCTGGATCTGCCCCTCTCCCATACAAGGCATGCAAGGGATTCTTCAGCACTGCTTTCATTGTGTGCTGTCATGATGGCTATACACCTGGACTGGAAGAATTTTTAATGTGGCACTATATCTTGCTTTCCCCCTTGTTCCACTCTTTTGAGGGATTACAGCGTGAAACTTTAAGGCATATTTTGAAAAACTCTGGCAATAAAATGAGATAACATGCTTAGCTGTATGGGCTCTCCTTATATCCCTTCCCAAGATCAAAATTGATTCTTCCACACCTC